AGGAGGTGTGTTTGTTACTTACTGTTTTAAAATTGTTAGATGTGTAATTTTCTCAAGTTTAGATCAAATTTAAATAATCTTTGCTTCTGGAAATTGACAGTGGTCAGCTGTAGGGCTGGGGAGGAAGTTTTTGCTCAGATTTCTTTTGTTTTTCTTTTGTATCTCCAGAACAACAACTATAGCTTGAAACAAGCAAGCAGTCAGATGTATAGTCATCTTTAAGTGTGGTGGCAGGTTGTTATATAAACTTAATAAATACTGTATTTGTTTTTAAAAAGTACATTTTAATATCATCTCTCTATATATAAATTAGTGATAAAATTGATTCAAGCTTTAACTGAATGTCTTTTGTGTGCTATTGTGGGTTAATAAGGGTACTAAAAATATTTAATAATGTGACAGAGTGTGATGTGAGAATAATGTGTTATTTTTTCTTTCTTTTACTGAATGTGAAACACTCCAATATTTCCCTCTACCCTCCTGGTATGTTTGAGAGTGTGTATGTGATACGAATTAAGTGTGAATGATACTTAACCTTTTTGTTGTTTCCCTAAAATCACTGCAGTGTTTTCCTGTTGGAGTGTTGATCAAGATGGCCACCAGTCACCTTTCCTGTTTGTAGTATCACACAAATGATCTTAAAGGGAAAGGTTACTGGTGAGCCATCTATAAATAACCGATGTAAGGTTAGTTGTTTTGTTTAAGTGAATATATCACAGTTGCATGGCTATGTTAAAAATTATAAGTTTTTTTGGGATGGTTAAATACTTTATTTTGGTCAAACTGCCTATCTCTGTTAAGAAAATGTGAGCAAGTCCCTTTAAGAGGATGGTCCTTAGAAGAGGAGGGGCTATAAAAGGGACTGGGAGAGCTCAGTATGGAGAGGGTGCCTTGGAGGAAAGGTGTGAAGAGTGTACCTGTGAGGTTTTTTTTTGTTATCCCTATTTTGATGGCAATAAATCCAGTTTTGTTTGCATTTGAAGACTGCTGTGTGGGAGTTTCTTTTCTTTTGAGCCAAACCTGGTCACTCGGCCAGTGACAAATAAATTAAAGGTATTTTTTTAAAAAAGGGAAAAAGAAAATTAACATGAGCTCATTGCGGTGTGTGGTTTGCAGGATGGTTGACTCTGTGGGTGGAGAGAGAATTTATCTACAAATACAAATACAAGAGCATCTAGAGTCCAAGATTCAAGTACTTAAACCCCAGCTAACTGACAGTACTGTTTTACATGCCCTATAGGGAGATTGTGTGCATGCCACAAGTAGGAGGTTAAGCCAGTTCTGAGCTTCAAATCAAGGTGATGGTTGCTGAGACGTAGGGGTACAAGATTCAGTGATCAAAGCATCAGGAATCTCAAAGCAATCATAAAGTATTCCTTGGCGTAGCTTTAGTTAATTGTTATGTGTAAATCCTTAAGAGTGTTATCAACAGTATATGGATACAGCATAAAAACAAGCAGGTACAGACCAGAAAGAAAAGTAAGAAAGAGACAGAAAGGATGACAAGAGACTCAAAAAGGCAGAAGTTGAGAGGTGTTGTCTTGATCATCCATAAAGACCAGATTGGAGTTGAGTATTTCACCCCTGATAACTGCGCCTGCTATTCTGTGGTGTTTAGGGAACTCTGATTTTCTGTGTAAAGAATCCCTCATATAAAACAGCCTCTCCTGGTTAGTGATTGCATCTGATAAAATAAATATCCATATGTATAAGTGACAGCGGTCACACTTCTCTTTTGAAATGGATGAAGTACAGAGATCTGTTTTTAGTATTCTAAAATAGTTTAAATTTGTTTTTTTTTGTTTTTCTCCATTGTTCTCTGGAAAATCTAAAAATGACTTACATGTTTTGACAATCATCTTGTTTTACGAATGTTCCTTTTCCTTGAATTTGAACAAATAGAATGCTGGATTGTCTGAATGGGATAAACTCTGTTCAACAGATTGTATTATGGTAAATTTGTCAAACTTTGCTTAGACTTAAAAAATAATACTAGGTATGAAAGAAGGAAAAAAATAAATATATACTTAGAAAAAACATTCAGATCATCATAATTTAGCTTATTACTCCAAGTTAAACATATACCCTTTTAAATATGTACTTTTTGGCCATTTCTAGAAAAAGTGTAATAGATCTGTTGAAAAGTTCCTTTTCTGTTGTTTCAGATTTCAGAACTGGACTTAGTATCCAAATTCTAAATATACAAAAATAATAAGAGCTTGGGTTTGAAGGTCAAACATCTGTCTTTTTATTTTTAACATACAGTATATGTACACATTTAGGGCAGCATTGTGGTACAGCTGTTAACACTGAAACCTTGCATTGCTGGGCTTGGGTTCAGTTCTGGAACTGGAGTGCTTTCTGCATGGAGTTTTTATGTTCTTCCTGTCTCTGTAGGTTTCCCCCCACAGTCAAAAGACATACAGTACTGTACTGGTGGGACAATCAGCATGTGAGAAAAATGGCCCTGGTGTGAATGTGTGCGTGTCTGTTTCTGTGTCAGTATGCACCCTGCAAGGGACAGGCGTCCTGTCCATGGTGTACCCTGCATTGTGCCCATTGTTTACCAGGATAGGCTCTGGCTCCCCAAAACCCTGTGTTGGATTAAGTGTTTAACAATTTGATGGATGCACAGTAGATATATGTAGAGGCCATAAAACATACACAATAAAAGGATTATCACAAAACATAGTAACAGTACCCGTCACCAGCAATTACAGTACATGTGACTATTGATATTAATATTACTACTACTCGGCATCATGGTGTCACAAGGGCTAGCATTGCTACCTCTCAGTGCTGGGGTCCTGGCATGCTACAGTATCTGCACAAAGTTTTTATTTTCTGCTCATGTTCTTTTTGGTTTTCCTCCAACAGTCCAAAGACATACTTTACTGGTAGTTTAACTGGCTTCTGTAAACTTGACCCTGGTGTGAGTGTGTGTTTGTGTGTGTGTCTGTGTCTGTCTGTGATGGATTGGGTGTATCCTGCCTTGCGCCTGTGGCTTGGTGGGTGAGGCACTGGCTCGCTTACGACCCTGTATTGGATAGAGCTGTTTAGAAAATGGATGGATAGATTGCTATTACCATTATTGTACAAGAACAGAGGCCACTCAACTAATTGTGGGGATCTTTAAGATAATTTTCTGCACCTAAATTAATTTAGTTGAGTTGAGTTTGAAAACTTTTTTTCTTATATTATCTATTTAACTCCAGGCTGCATATACCTGTATAACAAACACTACTAATTGCTATTTCAAATATACTGGTATCATCCAGGTGGATGCTGCACATTGGTGGTGGAGGGGAGTCCCCATTACCTGAAAAGTGCTATATAAGTGTAAGCAATTATTATTATTATTATTATTATTATTATTATTATTATT